AAAAAAGAATGAACTGATTCTGGGAGCAGACTTAAAAGAATTTCAAAACAATTTGAGCAACAGCAGCATCCTTGCAAAGGGTCGGCGGCCTAGAAAACCCAGCTCTCCCGACGATGGCTGTGAAGGGAAGAACATTAATTTATAAAAGTATAATAAATGAACCGCTTTTTCCAGTGGCCACTCTTAAGGGGAAAGTTTCATCCAGACGTATCATTTCTGAGGGAAAAAGCACAGTCGTCCCTTTACCTCCTGTCAGGGTTCAGACAACACTGGGCTGGAGCCACGGGCTCTAGGCCTCGCGCAGGGGCTGGGAAGCCCATGGGATGCATCGGGGAGGAGCCGGAACTTGCCTTTCCTCCCCACGCCCGGTCCCCACACACATTCTCCCATGTCATCCCCGGAGGAGCAGGAGGAAGAAGGATTTTCTAACACTCAGAAAGCTGGATCCATCACAAGACAGGAGAGAGGCTGAAACCAGCCATGTTAAATGAGGAGCATGAGTCATCTGTTTGTTCTGGCACTGCGGGGACGTTTTAAAAAGTAGTTTCGTTGGTCAGATAGAAACTGCGCACCTCCTTCCTGTCCAAGTTACTCATCCTCGGTCCGCTGTTCGCGTCCTGCCTCGGTTCTCAGGCTGAGGGGCCAGGAGCGCCTCGGGTTGGTTTGGAAGGCCATGTGTACGCCCAGGGATACCAACGTTCCTCCAAGCAGGGGACCCTCGTGGTTGGGCCACACTTGCAGATGGTCAGTGGGGAGACCAAGGAGACCGAGGAGGCCGAGGGCAGCGGCCTGTGCTTTCCTAGGCCCGCCTGTAATCCCAGCACAGCCATGCCTGTCCCCTCTCGGATCCGAGCTCTGCAGCGGGCCTCAGCAATTGCTAATTTATGACTCTTATTAGGATGGTCAGGAAGAGTTGTACAACTGTGCACACCGCGTTTGCAAGGGTGCCAGTCACACAGTAGAGATTGTACATTTATTACAACACTTCCTGGCAGATGGTGTCAAAAGTCTTCCAACAAAACCAGTATATTATGACAGTTTTCTAACAGATGGAAGGGAAACGTCTTGAGGAAGGGACGCCTTTTGCTATTTCTGCAAGGGCATCTTAAGGGCTAATGGCAGCCCAGCTGGGAGGAGACCCACAGAGAGGGAAGCAGATGCTAACGTAGCTGAGCCTGGCTCGGCCAGGGAGCCGAGAAAGGGTGCTGAATGGTGAAGGTGGCCATCCCAGCTGCTCCAGGGCTGTTACCACACACACACACACACACACACACACACAGGAGCCGCATCGGGTTTGGAGATTATTGCCCCTGCCCCTGGTTTCCTCCTTTGTGCCGGGGTCGTTGCCATGCACGGTGGTGCCCACCTCAGCTCTGAAAGTGGATCGCCCTGCACATGTCCCATTCCTTAGCACAGCTCCAGTGGGGTCTTTGCATCTCAACGCCCTTGCACCTAGCAGGGGTTGCAAGTTCAAATCCTACACTGATTCTATGGGTGATGCAAATCAATCAGGTGGGCAGCAATGATACACTAGGGAGTTGTAGGGACTGTGGCAAACTGGGATGCAACCCCACCCCCTGCCATGCGGCAGCTGCTACCTACCACCGTGAAGTAGCACCTCTCTGGAAGGCGAGCTCAGTGTGGCCTGATCTTCCTATTTTCTCAAGAGAAGCTGGATTCAGATTTCTTTGTGTAACCCTCAGGGTTTTAATATTGCCAACTAAGTAACAGCAACAACAACCATACTATGCAGGTCAGACGGAACATGTTTGGGGCCAGATTCAGCTTGGGGGCCAGTGGTTTTCAACCTGTGGTCTAGAATTATGCAAACTCTCAAGAGGGGCCTCGAGGAGGTGGATGCTCCTGCCAGGGGCATGCGAGAGAAAGCGAAGGTGTCTTCCTGACGCACCGAGGGAGTAAATCACAGTTTGGGGGTTCTGGGAGCTTCTGGCCAGCCCTGAGGAAGGGAGACTTGGTTTGGTCAAGATCCTGCAAGTGTCCACAACAAAGAATGCCGGAAGTGTTATGATGCCCCCCTCCGCTGCCCACCCGGGTTCTCTTCGGACAGAAGTAACAAGAGGTGATTAAGATTAGGCCAGACTCTAAGCCCTCCTGGTTCCCCTAACCCTCTGGGGCCACAATCCAAGAGGGTATGACATTCCGAACCCAGGAATATAAGCCTGAATCAGCTGGGGCCAGCAGTCTCCTTGGGTTTATTATCCACAGAGTAAGACGATGTGTCATTTGTGTGTGTGTGTGTGTGTGTGTGTGTGTGTGTGTGTGTATAATGTGTGTATAAGCATATTTTCCTGGGCATAGCAACATTTCAATAATACAATATTTTGAACTATGCCTGTTTTACTTAACAGTACGTTATAAACATTTTTCCATGTTATCAGATACTCATTCAGTCATTTTTAATGGCTACCGGGTTTTCATTACTACAGATGAATCAGAATTTATTTAGCCCATCCCTGCTGGGGGATATCTATGTTTTCAGTATAAGCAATCACTCAGAGATGGATGTCTTTTAAATTTAATCGCTGCAAACATCCGTAATTATTGAGGCAGTGTAATAAATTCCCAGGATGAGGATTGGGATCGTTAGGTCAAAGGTATGCACATTATTTTGGGGGTGTTTTTTATTATTGGAGTACAGGTGGCATACAATGTTGTATTCATTTCAGGTGTACAACACAGTGAGTTGATAATTCTGTGTACATTATGCTGTGCTCCCCATGAGTGTGCACACCGGCCACCATACAACGTTATTACAGTATTATTGTATTATTGACTATATTCTCTATATGCTGTACTTTTCTTCTCTCTGACTTATTTTACAACTGGTAGTTCATACCTCTCCACCCCCTTTATCTGTGTGTGTGCACATTTTTAAGGCTTTTGGTACATCATGCCGCATTGCCCTGCAGAACCATTGGGCTAATTTATGCTCTCACCCACAGGGTGTGAGGAGATCCAATCCCGCAGCAATTGCCAACACTGGGGATTGATATTGATTGGTGTTGATATAATTGTGGGTATATAATACGTTTTATATAAATCGATATGTTGAAATAATACATATTTATCACACATTATATTTTATGCACATATATATGGTAAACAAATACTGGTAACTCTCGAATATGTATTTCCTTGATCATTAGTGAGATCGAATGCATTTTTATATTTGTGGGTGTTAAATTTGCCTCTCCAAAGTGACTTCTTCCCTGTCATTTTGAGATTGCCTTTTGAGTCTACATTTAGACCCTAGCTTCTCCCCAAACTTTCTTCTTTCTGGACTGGGGAGCCCTGGGTTTCTGATCTGAGCTCTCTCCAGAGGGTCCTCCCAAGGCGTGGCCTCTGGGGTGGCCCCTGGGGCTCCCAGAGCTGCTCAGACCCAGTGGGCGAGGCTCAATCTTCCCAGAGGCATCCCTGCTCTTTCCCTGTCCCCTGCCCTCCTGCCCCTGCTGGCGAGGGCTGCTCCCCAGGGCCCCTTCCCGTGAGACTGAGGCCAGACCTTGGTGCCTGGGGAGCTGACCAAGCGCTGCCCTCTGGTTGAAGGATGAGTGAGCCTGGAGGGGGCAGAGGACAAGCCTGACCATTCGCTTTTCTCTCAGAGTCCCAGTGAAGGAAGTGCTCCCTGGCATCATTAAGCAGGGGGTTAATTGCTTAGAATCCCAGGGCCAAGACTCAGCCGGGAACTTCCTGCTTGGAATGGGGATCTGCAGAGGGTCCGCGAAGAACCCCCCAGCACCGCAGGTAAGCTGCTTAGGGCCTTGAGGTCCAGACCAGGACAGGGAAAGGAGCCATGGTCGTCATCCAGGAGTGGGGTGTGAGGCTTCCCTCTGCTCCTTCTCATTTTCTCTCTCCTTGCTCCCTCCACAGGGGACCATGCACGTTATCCCCTCACACGGCTCCTTGGCTCTGCTTCTGCCACATTCCCGTCCTCTTTCCTACACTTCGCACAGTTGCCCTCTGTGAACCACCCACTTTCTCCTTGCTGAGGGAGAAATGCTACCCAGCAGCACCCAGTTCTCCCCCGGGATGCAGCCATGGCCAGCATGTATGATGGGCAGCAGGGCATCCCGGACTCCTGTGTGTGCATGCATGTGCCACCTACGAGTGCGGGTGCACCTATGTCAAGACTAGTGCAGGTCATGGAAACCCCCCGGCTGCCCTGGCCCCATGTCCTGTCTTTCTCCCTATCCCCCCAGCATCCCTTGGTACATCCTTGATTGCCATTCTGGCCATTCCAGCTAAGCTCCCCCTAATACTTTATTATGAAACTTTTTAAACATACAGAAAAGTTGAAAGAATTATATGGTGAATACCATGCACTCCTATTATTTATAGAAAATTCTATCAAAATACACAGTATATTTGTTTTATCACCAATCTACCCATCTATCCATCCATCACTGAGGATTTTGACTTGGCCTTTGATGTCCCTGCCTTGTAGGCGTGGCTGTTCAGTGACCATCTCATCCAGCAGCAGGGGAAGTGCCTGACTGCCACCTCCACCTCCATCACCCCCGGGTCCCTGGTCGTTCTGCAGGTGTGCAACCCAAGAGAAGGCAGGCAGGTAAGCCTCCTTGCCCCCAGGGGACACGCAAGGGGGTGGCAGCTCCTAGCAGGGGAGCCCTGGGTTGAAACAGATAAACTCAAGTAAGCCCTCCAGAGTAAGAGTCACTGTAAGTCAATATCTAGGTCAAATCTCTTGTTTCACTCACCGGGAAACACTTCTTCAAGTAAATGTCTGTTAAATGCCAATCCTGCCAGCCTGTGAGCTCCATGAGGGCAGGGACTGTCTGTCTTGTGTCCCTACAACACTATCCCTAGCCCCTGACAAGCACCACAGTCAAACTCGTGTTGGCTTTTACCAAGAGCCCATGCTAGGAGTTTTACAGATTATCTCATCTAATCCTCATGCAGCCCAGGGACTTGGGCCCTAGTACTATCCACATCTTATAGGTGAGTTACACTGAGGCTCACTGAATTTAAGGGACATGTGTCAGATGAAACACAGCTGGGAAGGGGTGGAGCCAGGATTCAAACCCAGGTCAGTGTGACCCCTAAGCCCACAGTCTTAACCCAAAACACAGTAGATGCTCGATAACTACTTCCTTTCCTGTCTTTTCTTTTCTTTTCTTTTCCTTTCTTTTCTTCTCTTCTCTTTCTTTTTCTTCTCCTTCTCCTTCTTCTTCTTCTTCTTCTTCTTCTTCTTCTTCTTCTTCAGAGAAAAAGAGAGTGCAAGCAGGGGAGGGGCAGAGAGAGAGGGAGTGAGGATCCCAAGCAGGCTCTGTGCTGTCGGCATGGAGCCCCATGCTGGGCTCTATCTCATGACAGCGAGATCATGACCTGAGCCGAAATCAAGAGTCACTCAACCGACTGAGTCACCCAGGTGCCCTTCAATAAATATTTCTTGATTGTGGCTGTTGGGAAACTGAGATCCAGATACACTGATTTCCAGGCATGACAGGCTCACAGGAGCACTGCTTTTTCCATTTGTCAAACACTCACCCACCCTGTTTCCATTAATCCTGGGAGACAGGCCAGGCCCACCTGTTGAGGAAGAAACCGATGTTCAGAGAGATGACATCACTTGCTCAGAATACACAGCAGCCAGTGACAGTCAGCCGGCTCCCTTCCTGGCTGGGAGGGTGCCCCTCTGCCCGAAGAATGAGACACAAAGGATGGCGGCCTGCTCCGGCCCTTCCTCTGCCCACCAACCGCCTCCCCTCCCCCTCTCTGTGCCTGACCCTGGCCAGCCAGCGGCACAGTGCAGGGGTGAGGAGAGCACCTAGCTCTCTGACTTGGCCTGCAGGGCTTCCTCCCACCCTTTTCCTGTTTGCCTGGGTCAGCTCTTTCTTTAAGGATGACTGGCAGTTTGCTATTCCATTCTGGAAAAGCAGCCAGATCCTCTCCTCCAGCCTCTGGGTGTATGTGAGTGCATGCGTGTGTGTGTGTGTGTGTGCATGCACACGCGTGTGAATTGTGTGCCAAGATCTGCTTGCTGAGCCTGAGGGATACTTCTGAGGAGTTTCTGATTGGCAGATGTAGTTTGTCCTGCCCCCTCAGGCTGCCTGCCCTCTGCCCCTGCCCTGCAGGGAGGGAGGCCCTCAGGCTCTCCTTCACTGGGAGCCTCAGACCTTTCTGAGGACCAGGCTTTGAGCCCACTCCCATTCCTCCTTGCTGAGGCCGAGCTAGGAAGTAGCTCCCGGGGCGGCTGAATATTTCTCTGGAGCTGAAGCATCCTTTCCCCTCCATGCTGACCCAGCCCCAGGGGCTTGTGGGAATTTCTCTTGGCCCCATTCACTCTGCTCCTACAAGTCTTGCCAGGCCCCCAGCAGCGCCCTGGGCCACTGGGGCCTCTCCTCCAAGAGGACAGGATGAGCAGGTCTCCCACTGCTGTGCCTTCTCAAAGCTAGGCCTCCCTCCTTGGTCCCCTTTTGGCCTCTAAGGCCACTTGCGTATCATGTATCTAAGAGGCCCTATATATTGGAGCCAGTATGATGGCATTGGCAGACCCCAGCCCGACCACCCCTCACCTCTCCGAGCCTCTGTCTCCTCCCTGCCTGCCTTGCAAGGCACCTGTAAGAACAGAGGCTGAAGAGATGGGAGAGTGTCCAGGGCTGAGTGGCCAAGAGAGTTGGAAAGGCCCTGTAACTGCCCAATGACGGCATGGGTAAGAAGTGAGAATCCTGCAGTTTGGGGACCGCCTCCAGTGATGGGGTGATTCATTCCTTCATGCGCACATTCATCCTTTGTAAACACTGTGCTAGGTGCCTACCTGTGCCAAAGGATATCCTTTGCCCAGTAGGGGCGAGTGTGGCCAGCCCCTTCTAGGAGGTCAGGGACTAGACGGGTACAAAGCAACCGATGCTGGGAGTTCCAGAGGGACCAAGGCCTTGTCCTACCCACTGCCCCAGCTTTCAGGCCAGGGACCCCTCACTGCTGGGGCCGCGTGGGCACCCCACAGGCCTACATTCCGAAGGGGAGTCTGCAGCCCACAACTCCCCCCCCCCACCCCGCCCCCGGTCCACCTCCCAAGTCAGTTCCCTTCTCTGCCCACCTCAGCCCCTGCAGCCCTAGACCTGGCCCTGTAGCTGGGTACGGCTCAGGCCTTCTGCTGGCACTCCAGCTGAGTGTGTGACCTCACCCTTTAGAGCCCTGGGGGCTCCATGTGTGGGTGAGCATTCCCTACCCCCTTGAAGCCTGGGCCAGCCTCTCTCCCCTTCTCCTGATGGTTCCAAAGGACACACCATCCTCCACCCAGGCACCTCCAGATGTTCCACAAGAACACCTCTTTTCCCCTTTGTGAAGCCTGGGGAAAGGGAGGCACAGGGTGGGCACTGGGATGGGGACCCCAGGCCTCCTACCATCCTGCTGGGCTCACTGAGTCATCACTGCAGAGATGGCGGCCGGTTCCCACTCAAGGGTGTCGGTCACCCACCGCACAGTTACAGGCCAGGTCAGACCCTTAGAGCCGCAGGGAGAAGAAATCTTGTTTGAAGAAGCAAAAGATGCACCAGGCCAGGCCCCACAGACTCAAACGCCAACAGGGAGGGGCAGGCTGTGCTGGAGGAGAATGTAGGGACCGGGCAGAACCTTGGTCAGTGGACAGCAAGAGTCCCAGCTGCAGCAGGGGACAGCCGCTCAGCCCCAACCGCCTGATGCCACATGAGAAACTGGGCCCACGTCTAAAGGGAAGCTGGAAACACAGAGTTTCATGTGACGACCAAGCCAAAGCTTAAACACTATGCAGGCCAAACAAAATACATCCCTGGGTTTGATTCATTCAGCCCGTGGGCCTCTGATCTAGACTGCTGAATGAGGCAAGAGTGCATCAGAAGGGGAGGGGGTTAAGGAGGTGTGCGGGGTCAGGGAGCTCTTGGGTAGGGGACAGTCCGCTTCAAATGAGGAGGGTGTGTCCTAGGTATATTCAGGCCAGTTACATACATGTGAAATGGACTTCTGAGCATTGTTACTATTTTTAATCATTGTGTTTTCGTCATCCTCCTTCCCCCCCCAGAGATGGAGGAGAAAAGCCTCTTTCATCCAGCACTCGGTCAGCGGCCTCTGTCTGGAGGCCAAGCCCGCCCAGCTTGTGACCAGCAAGTGCCAGGCCGACGCCCCGGCCCAGCAGTGGCAGCTGTTGCCCCACACATGACGGTAGCCTGGGGCCTCCTGTACCTTTTGCATGAGACTTTGGGACTGGAAGCGGGTTAGGGTGGGGGAGTGTAAAGCAGGCCGTTCCCATCTCCTCGCATTTCTGCCAGAATCATCAGCAAACACCCCCTGCCACGACACACGTTTCTCCAAAGCTTGTTCCGGGGGGGCCACGGGGGAGCAGGCCCCGACGCCCTGGCTGCCGTCCCGGCCTCGCCCCGGAAGAGGAGACGGTCAGGATGCAGGACTGCTGCTGGGCTGAGACTGGGCAGGCCCCCTGGCCCTCTGTTCCCTCCCTTTGCCCTCCTGGGGTTCCGGACCGTGTTTTGGGGGCCCTCGCCTGTTGGCTGGGGAGAACAAGGACAGAAGCCCACGCAGGGCCCCTGCTGGGTCACAGGGCCCGCCTGTGGGGTCAGCGTGAGAGGCGAATGTGGGCGGCGTGGATGGGGAGGGTGGGGAGGGGGCAGCCTGAAGGCAGGGAGAGAACAGGGAGGAGGTGAGAAGCTCAGTGGCCTGTCCCAGGCAGGTGCTGGGTTGAGTGCGGGAGGGATGGGATCTGGAGCAGAGGATGATGGGTCATTTGCAGAAGGACATGGATGGAAAAGCAGCGAAGCACCAAAAGAGTGACTCTCCTCCCGACAGCCCATCCTTCCTCCCATGCTGTACCAGTCCCCGGGCGCCGTGCCCTGCACTCTGGCTTCACGCTCTGCACAAGAGGCTACAGGGGGCTGTTCAGGGGCAGCCTTGGGACACAGTTTATTAAACAGATCCCACTCCTGGTTGGCCGTGCGCCAGGCCAAGACCTCTTCCTTGGACCTTAAGACCGGCTGATGCCCTGTCCCCTCTGCCTGGGTCCATGGTGATGACCCTGTAGGGACAGGCGGCCGCCCCGCACTGCTGAGCAGCCCCATCCTTATTCAGACCTTTTGACTCCTGCCTTCTCAAAAGCCTTTGCCTCTGTAAATACTGTATTATGGCATTGAGGTGGCTGGGGTGAGCAGGACCTCCCTTCTGGAGCTAAACATTCCCTAAGACAGTAGGGAGTGAGTCGTGCAGCCTAAGCCTCATCCCCGCCCCTCCCCACTGCAAGAGGGAGGCCTGAGAGGGTCAGTCCCTGCAGTGGGCGGGGAGGCCGGCTGGCAGCTCCTGTCTGTGTAGAGAGCCCCCTTCTCACAGCCACTGGGCCCACGGCCTAGTCTCAGAAGGGCTTCTGCTATTCCCCATCTCCTCCTGCCCAACCCCACTGGCTCAGGCAGCGTGATCTTCAGCAAAAGACCAGCGGTACAAGGACCCCTGGGAATCCCCCCTCCCAAAGCAAATCAGCCTGGGCCCCCTAGAGAATTCATGGATTCCAGAGGGCCTAGGAATCCTCTGAAATTGTCCCCCAAATAGTGCATGTGTGTGCATATATGCATTTTCCTGGGGAGAGGGTCTGTGGATTTCCCCAGCTTCTTACAGAGGTACCCGATCCCCAGGATCTGAACTTCTGCTCTGGATTGGCACGACCATCCAGCTGAGCTGCCGTGTCCCTTCTCCCTCCCTGGTGTGCCTAAACTGCTAGTGTCCTCTTCCTTGCTGTCCTCCGGCCAGCAGCCCCACGGTGGGGGGTTCTCAGTGGCTTCCTCTCACTTCCTGGCTCTCACCGGGCCCTCTTAAGCAGTGCTTCTGTGCCCCAGCAAGGGGCCCTTGGCCCCCAGGGCCACTATCTTCCGTCCTCTGCCACTATGTTTCATCCACCCCCATCTCTGTCGTGCGAGTCCACCCCACAGGCAGCGCGAACCTTTGGGGAGGGGGGCACGGCTTCCCTCGTTGAATGTAAGAGGACTGCCGCTCAGGGAAGCCCCTGAGAAGCCGTCCCTTCCCTGTGGTCAGGCTGCACTTGTCAGCCGTCCTTTGTGGGACTCAGCCCTGTTCTGGTTTTGCTTTTCCTCCTCTTGACCAAAGCATGTGCCACTAGCTGTCCCCGAGGGCCTTGTCTTTATGAACCACACATCTGGAATAAAACCACTTCTCACACATACACGTGCACCAGTGCCTTCCTTTCTGATGCCAGAGCTGCCCTCCCCTGCCTCATGGAGGGGAAGTTGAGGCGTCCATTCTGCCAAGATGAAACACACTGGGGTCTAACCCCCTCCTGCACCTGACAGCTTGCTTCTCGGCCTACGTGCCTCCTGGTACCCCAAGCAGTCTTGGGTGACAGACTGGCTGCTCCAGGGGAGCCGGCAGGTGGCCCTGCTTCTGGAGCAGGCTGGCACCAGAGGCCAGGTTCCTGTGACCTCGTGAACCCTCCTTGGGGCCTTATGTGGGGCTTTGGAGTGGTAACCAAGGGTTTTTTTTCCAAATTCTTGCCTTTTACCAACCCTCTCTCCTTCCCTGGGTGATAGCCCCAGCCCCTCAGAACTGCTCTTCCCCACCCCTACCACATAAGAAGGCAGCGGTAAAGTGCAGGCGGGACATCTCCCGAGGTAGGCACAGCAAAAGAATTCCAGAAAGAGCCCTATAGCCTAGCCTTGTTGATCCGATGGCAGATGCTCCGGCCTAATGTTTCCATGGAAACAATAGAAAGCCCCCACCGCTTCTGATCACAGAAGCCAAACCTACCCAGGTAAAAAGAAACGCCGCTTCAGTGCATAGATGAACTGTGGTGGGCAGGCCAGCGTGCAACTAAACCTGTGCCGACACAGCCATTTCTGCTCCCACCCCCACTTCACCTCGGGGCTGCTCGTCCGGGGCCCCCCAGAACTGCGGACCGCCATGCCCGATGGGCCCCGAGCAAAGCCCTGGCTGGTGAGTGTGTCTGCAGAGCCCAGCTTGGGCTAACTGGGCGCAGGGCACAATTCACTGCAGAAGTCTCTCTCTCTCTCTCTGTTCGTCCTCTCAAGGAGTGCATCCCACTGCCCACTGCCTTCTCCGGCCTCTCTCCTGGCCAGGCTGGGCCAACTTTCCACCTTCCGTCTGTTCTCCTTCCCAGCCTCAAAGGGCTCCAGTGCTGCTTCTCCTGAGTCGTGCTTTCTTGCCCTCCTCCAAACCTACCTCTCTGGAGGCCCAGTTTCTCTGACCCTTTTTTTTTCTTTTTTTTCTGGAAAGTAAGACTGGTAGCCTTTAGTCAGTTCTTGGAGGGGTGAGCAAAAGCTCTCAGGTTGGCCCTTAGCAACAACGGACCTTACAGAACCCAGCAGAAGAGTCTCAAAGAGCACACAAGTGGGGAGGGCAGGAGGGACGTGGCTGTGAGGCCAGCCTCCCATTTGTTCAGCAAGGAGGGATTCCTCCATCCCTGAGCCTCTGTGACTTGGCTTCAGTTTTCTCTTCTTTTCTTTTCTTTCTTTTTTTTAATGTTTATTTATTTTTGAGAGAGAGAGCACAAGCAGGGGAGGGGCAGAGAGAGGGAGACACAGAATCTGAAGCAGACTCCAGGCTCTGAGCTGTCAGCACAGAGCCCAATGTGGGGCTTGAACTCCCAAACTGTGAGATCGTGACCTGAGCTGAAGTCAGAAGCTTAACCGCCTGAGCCACCCAGGCGCCCCTTGGCTTCAGTTTTCACAGAGGCTCTGTCCTGCGTCCCTCAGGAGGGGTCTCTCCATCTGCAGTTGGGAGAAATAACGTGGGCAATACCTGTCTTCCAAGGGGTCCGGCAGCCCCACGCCTGTGGAGAATCTTCCAGCACCAAATGGGGTTTGAGGGAACAGGAAAGGAAAAGCTACAGGTCATGATACCGACAACTTCATTCCCGACTATGTCCCCAGTGTCCCTGGTATTGCTGTATGTCCCCTATAGTGGTTGAGTCCATTTCCTCCAGAAGGTGAGGGGCGGGACAGGCAGCTTCTCATCTTAAAAAGTCTTCACTGGTGGGCACTTAGCAAAGACCTCAGGTGTGGCAGGCCGGGGCCACCCTCTCCTGGGCCCGCAGCCGGACTATGTGGTCACCAAGCAGGAAGGAGCCTCCAAAGTCATCTGAGGACAGCCCTCTGTCGTGGGACTCGATCCCTCTATACTACAAAGAAAATAGGAGTGTGGGCCTCAGGCCCCTGTCAGTCAGTCTGTCCCCACTCTGCCACTTACTGGTCATGGGGTCCTGAGTCCCTTACTTCATCTCTCAGCCTCGGTTTCCTCACGTGGAAGTTGGGGGTACTCATAACACTGGAGGGGTTTTGCGAGGACTGATCTACTTCACGAGTGCAAAGCATCTTTCTAAAAGCTTAGTAAACGTGTGTGAGTGCTACTACTAATAAGCAGTGCCTTTCGGGGTGCCTGCTACATGCCAGGCACTTTACCAGGGGTGGGGACACAAACATAAAAAAAAACAGAAATATTCTAGCAGGGGACATGGCCACACAGGCCATCATAAAAGCCCCAGGGAACTATGGGAGCAGCAAGGAGGGGCCTCTCGCTGTGGCCTTCGAGCCATGGAGTCCCGATGCACTCTGGACCATGCCTGCCTCGGCTGGGCAACGGGCTGGATGAGGCCTGACAGACCCTAGCCACACCAGCCTGGCCCGTAGCTCGGCAGGAAGTGGTGAGTGGCCCAGACTTGTTACCCCAGTGCGCACAGCATCGTAGTGATGCAGACCAGCCCGTAATCATAGAAGGAAGCTATGGCAGCGGTTTAACTCCAACAGACAAACCCTTTGCTTCTTAAGCTACTGGCCATTCCTCCAGGGCTCACTTTCCTTTATTTGGTGAGGGCAGAAGAAAGGACGGGGAAATAGATGGCCTGAAAATTTTAATGACTCTCATCTGGCAAGAATGAACACAAATGACCAGGAGGTGTTCCAGAAAGACTTGTTTTCTCCTTCCTCCTCGGTTCAGGTTATCTGTGATCCACCCAAACCCCCTGAAACCCAAGCCTGTCTTTCAACAGATTGCCTTTCAAATAAGTGTCTCTCAAAGTTTGGCCCAGATCACCTGCTGGAATCACTCAAGGTGCCTCGTAAGCATGTCGGTTCCCGGGCTCTGACCCAGACCTGCGGACTCCGAATTTCTGTGTGTGCCCAGTGGCCTAGG